AAAGAATATTTAAATAAAACAACTGAAATTGCCTAAATAACCTTCAAAGCACAATAAATCACTACAAACATAAATCGTATACACATAATACACCCCCCGGAAAGTTAACTCTATGACTGATTGACTGACTGATGTGAATTTTCCCAGTCATCACAATAGTGCACAGTTTCAAAGAAACTCTGCACTAAAAAGTGATTAAAGTTAATTATAATTAAGTGGAAACGTCATCCAATAAGAAGCGCGTATTTGAGAGTTAATCACTATTTAACTACAAAATAGTGATTAAAAAAGTGATTAAGAGTTTTATACAACCGGCCCCTGTATTTAAAAACTTTGTAGAAAAAGAACAAATTATCTTTGACTACAGTTTAGATGGCTCTGAATCCGAAATGGCATTGTAAGTTGCAGCAATTATTGCCTCGTGAAGGTACAGCATATATACTTAACACACGTACATTACGAGTACACACGAATCACACAGCTATAGTTTATGACTAAAAAGTAATCAATATTTTACAACACAACAATACTAAACCTACCGCAATACGTTCCAAAAGGTTATACAATTATTACACAATGGAAACACAATGGAAAATGTCTGATCTCACAACATGTGTTAGCAATCTACATCATTTCTTCGAGATCTCATCCAACATCGCAGTAATTTCAGGAGAACAACTCAATATTTCAGGACGTTTAGGACTAGAGCACACAAGACAATGTGAATTTTGCATGTTGTTTACCACACCACAGGTCATACACTTCCACCAATGAGTGACTGGCTTGTATTTCTCTTGTTTAACTGTTGCCTCTCTTGCTACAATATCTTTGGGAGTTGGTATTGGCTTCTTGAACTTACGTGCAGAGGATGGCTTGATTTCATTTCGAGGTTTTATGGACTCTACTACTGGAAGATCTCCCGCCGTAAAATGCTTACCGCATACGAGGCACGACGTATTTTCCACACTATTCTCAACTTTACAACTAGTACAAATGCGCCAGAGACCAGCCTTCGGAGAGGTCACATCATGTGATGGTAGTTTGTGTGAGTCAAAGCCTTCAGCCAGAGGGTTCATACCATGATGTGATGCTACTTTGTGCGAGTCAAAGCCTTCAGCCAGAGGGGTCACACCATGATGTGATGGTAGTTTGTGCGAGTCAAAGCCTTCAGCCAGAGGGTTCATACCATGATGTGATGCTACTTTGTGTGAGTCAAAGCCTTCAGCCAGAGGGGTCACACCATGATGTGATGGTAGTTTGTGTGAGTCAAAGCCTTCAGCCAGAGGGTTCATACCATGATGTGATGGTAGTTTGTGTGAGTCAAAGCCTTCAGCCAGAGGGGTCACACCATGATGTGATGGTAGTTTGTGTGCGTTTGAGTCAAAACTTGCAGCCATAGCGTGTACATGACCTTCATGAGGGACACCACAGGAATCACGACATTGATCAAATATTTTCTTGAATTCAAACGAATGTTCAACAGATTGGAACTCAGCTGCAAGTTCACGCTCAACAACTTCAACATCGCTGTGATCTGCCAAGGTAAACCACACCCAGGAACGATCAGATCCTGCATTAGGCTTCAGATCCATCGAGGGAGTGATCTGATGAGCTACGCATATTCTGGCTTGATCTGACATAAATATGTGGTACTCGTTGTCATAGTGTAATATCTGTAGAGTGCCATATCCTCTCTCACGCCAATCATCTTGCTGCTCGTCAAAGAAGTAGACTTCAGCATCTCGACCAAAGAGCGCTTGTATATCACGATTGCTTTCTTCAAGATATTGCTTTGCCAAACGAGGAAGGTACTCTGTGTAGAACCGAGATATTGGAGATGATATTTGGCGTGTTTCTCTTGTATGAAGGGTCGCCAATAACTTCTTCCCATTTCCTTCGGATTTCTGAAATTCTCTTTCTGGTTTGTCCATCACATCTCCGTGACCTGCTACACTACTGCTGTAAAGCTCTGCCGTAATTGGTAAAACCGACTTTTCTTTCTTCAAAGTAACGTTCAGCATAGACGTACAAGTTGTATCACTATTTTCGTTTGCGGTTAATCTAAAAGCACCAAGCTTAGTCTCGTACACACTATACAAAAAGAGGTTAACAAATTCATCAGATTGATGTGCAGGTAGTGCAGTTCACGTGAAACGTATAGTGCAACCAAGAAGCCATAATTTTTTTCCAGATCCGAAGTATAAAACCATGGCCATTACCAGGCATATGCTATGCCAATAATTGCACTGGATACTGAAAATGTATATATATAGCCAATTTCAAGCCCGCTATCAAGACGAAAAATATTGACATTCTGTGTATGAACATAAGGAAGAACGTCTGATGTTTCGCGCAAAGGCCTTGAACAGAGAGTATTTAGCTTTGTTCGAAAGTAAGATCTCTTTGTACGAACTCTGCGTACTCATTTCACAAACAGAACAAGAGTCAAAAAAGAAATATCCAATGACGATGTTTCAAGCAAGAGCCCTTTGTGAGAGAGCATTCAAATTATTTGAAAGTATAACTGTAACTCGCTGTTTGAACTATGCAGATAAATCACATAGGAGGACTAGTCAAGAAACAGAAGACCAAGGAGGATCTAGTCAAGATACAGAAGACCTAGGAGGATCTAGTCAAGATACAGAAGACCTAGGAGGATCTAGTCAAGATACAGAAGACCTAGGAGGATCTAGTCAAGATACAGAAGACCGTCACCAAACTTCGCGACAGTGTTCTAATGACAGCGCTGTGAAAAGACGATGTTTTGGACGATACACGCTGGACAGTATCATAACAGCGGCGTTCATCTGGGTAAGGCCAAGCGTATTTATTTGTTAGTAAGAAATCCTCACCAATAGGGTTAAGAACATATCAAAAAGTATAAAAGGTCCGTGACAAAATTCCAGATAAATTTTTTTCTTAGAGACAAAATTCCAGATAATATTTTCTTAGACATTCCAGTAATGAGATATACATTTATTTATACGAAGTACGAGAAAGTTCAATACTAATAATACTGTGAAGTAACCAGATATTACAATACTAAGTTGTCAAAAGAAAAATAGCTAGGTATTAGAAAACTGATATAAGTTTATCAAAAGAAAGATAACTATAAATAATGAAACTACTATAAGTTTGTGAAAATTTTCAACTACCTTTGTTTCTCGTCGGCATTATCATCATCTTTTCTTTGGATGTTTTTCAACTCTTCTTTACACATGTCAAACTTGTCTTTAAATTCTTGTGCAATTTCGGCATTCTTAAATCGAACTGCAAGTTGTTCAGCTTTCGGTTCTCCATCAGATATGTCAGCGTTAGTGTGCCACACCCATGAACGATCTGAACCTGCGTTTGCTTTAAGTTCCATATCAGCAGTCAAGAAATGATTAGCACAAACTTTGAAAATTTGATCTCGTCTCATTAACACTCGAACTTGTCCAGTTATTTTATGTTTGAGAAGTTTTAAATTCCCCACACCTCGTTCTTTCCATTGAGCAGTATCTTTATCATAACGATATAATTTCGTACGTTGTGTGTAAATGTTGATTTCATTCTCTTCACCACTCGACTGTTCAATCTTCTCAAGTTGGACAATTGGTTTGAAATCAATACTGCTGACCTCACGTTCTGGATCGTCGTCCTCTTGAGTATTTTCTTGAACAAACAACTGTGAACCAGCTCCAGTAAATTCCTTATTTGGAGATGACTTGAATCCAGCGGTTTTACCAGCTAGCGCACTGAATGATAATGATGAGATGTCTTGCGAGCCAAACACGAAGGAATGTGCATAAGTGGTTGTGGAAGAACTGTCTTGTAGTGTTAGGATGCTGTCGTCTGGCACATCTGATGGACTAAAATCAAATGTTTACGTATCTTTAGTAAAAATACACAGCAAGACAATAGAGATAGAGCACTTGGGATTTGAGTACGAGTACAAAATTCTTCATTTCCTGGTTACCAACGCCATAAACCGTTCTATGCCATACTTTACTATCGTTACTGCCTGCTTGCTAGTGATGACAACTGAAAAATATGGCGAGACAGCCAAGTACACAACACGCACAAGTTGTAACATGCCTGCAGCACTTGTAGCCATGCTGTTCCAACAACTTGTCAACAGGATGTGTTCGCACTGCTTGTTGACAAGTTGTCAGCGGCTTGTTGAGCTCAACAGCTCCTTGTCAACAAGCTGGGAGTGACAACCTTGTAGCAACTTGATAAAATAACAACATTGTTACAACTTGTTGACAAGTTTGTTACAAGCCTGTAATGCCTGTTGTGAACGATTTTTACGTGTGCATTCACAGTCAAATTTAAAGCTGTCTAATAAAAAGTGCGAGGTACGGTTTCAACAAATAATGGTTTGAAATGGCGGCTAAAATACTTGACGTGTTAGAATCAGAAGAAATGGAATAAACCTGGAGTAACTGCCTAAACCGCGCATACCTCCTCTGGTCCAAAATAACGTTTTGTTTTCGCGTAAAAAACATTCAAGAATGCGACTACATTATTTCCTAATGTTGTGAAATCGACATCAGAGAGATTCAGATTTGACTTCTACTACTGCTGCCATTTAAAGAGATCATTAACCAATCAGATGCTGACTCGTCCCCAGTCGTCTCTGTGTTTCAAGCGCGGGCGGAAGCAGGAAAGGTAGCAAGGGCATCTTTTCTGCTTCCACCGCCATCTTTCCTGCTTCCGCCCGCGCTTAAGCGCTTGAAACAGAGTATTCCGCCCGCGCTTTAAACAGAGTAACACAGAAACGACTGGGGACGAGTCAGAATCAGATCCGTTATATCCAATTAACCAATCAGATGCGTTTGATATATCCAATTAACCAATCAGTAGTGGTAGAGGAAATCAAATCTGAACCTCTCAAAAGTGGGAATGGGGGGATATGATTGTTTCCACGAGAAATTGTGTTGAGATCAGATTATGTTTGCGGTGTTACTCTGAGTGCGCATCCACACCGGGCAAGCTGAAAAGTTTGCCTTGAGCACGGTGGGAATGTCGAAGATATTGCAGTCGTTGAATGGGACACATGGCATGGCGAAATTAATAAAGAGACTGGGACCGCATGTTAGAAAGGTAATATAGGGAACCAATGGAAGTAGCATCTCAAAATTAGTAAGTAGGTAACGTTTGATCACATCTATTTAAATATGGTACGCAGAGCAAGCTTTCAAAAATTTCAAAGATTACTTCCCAATTTCGAACGCTTATTTTCATAATGTACATTTACTTAAATGTAGTTGACTTTATAATGGCTAAACTACAAACCTTTCATCGACAACATTGAGTTTATATCTTGGTTGGCTGGCAGATTCTGCTCCTTCAGGATAACTTTCTGGTGGTGTGATGAAGTCTTGCGACTGAACACTTGACTCATCATCGCTGTATCCTCGATCTTCTTCTTTATCTTGGAAGGATTCTGAGACATTTCCTGCACCCTTCTCCTTGGATTTTTCTTGTATATCACCTTCGACCAACTTAACATTAGCCGCCTCCTCAGAACAATAAAATGTTTGTGGCAATTCATAAAGTTGTGCTTGCTCCTTCTGTTTTGGGGATGGAACTTTCTCGAAGACAATTACAACTTCATCTACATCATTGCTTGGCTTTTCTTCAACACTTGTTGATTCACTTGCTTTTATTTCATTTTTGTCTTGACATTCAATAAATTTATCACGAAACATCAGAGCATCTTCACGATGTTTAAATCGAACAGCGAGAAGTTCGTTCTTTGCCACACCATCAGAAAAGTCTGCGTCCACTGACCACACCCATGATCGATCTGATCCTTCATTCTCCTTCAGTTCCATACCAGCTGTTATATAATGATTGGCACAAAGTTTGTGAATCTGCTCTCTTCTCATTACTACTCGACATCGCTTTGTTTCATTATGAAGTAAAATTTTGATATCCCCAACACCACGTTCCTTCCATTGTTTTGTATCCGAGTCATATCGATATAATTTAGCACGATGAGTGTAAACAACAGTTTCATCTTCCTCTCCAGTTTTCTGTTCAACAATGTCAGGTAATGAAACAATAGGTTTGAAATCAGCTCCTTCAACTTCTCTTTCGGGGTCATCTTCATCATTTGAACTAAATAGCTGTCCACCACCACCTAGAAATCCTTTCCACGTTCCCTCGCTTGTCGTTGGAAAACCTGATGTTTGTTCAGCCAGTTCAGCAAATGACAGTGTGGACGTTTCCTTCGACCCAAACTGGAATATTGGAGTGTTTTCTTCATTTTCTAGAGAGCTGTCGTCTTTTTCCGGAACGCTGAAAAAAATATTTTCGATGTAAACAAAGACTGGACTATAATTGAGATGGCATAATATTATCCTTTGCAATCGACGGTACAATTGTTTACATTCAATTGGAGCCGGTACAGAGGAAAGTCCCCAAAACAAGCACGTGTTTTATTGTAATCATCTTTCGTGGAAGGTAAACACGAACATGGGAGGTTCACATTAAACCTACAGAGAGCAGCTAAGAAAAATGCATGAAAATATTGGTTCTGATTTGAACCTGCGGTTCGCAGTTCTGGTGTAGCATTTGAGCATAGCACTACGTAATTCGTTGCTGTAGAGTTACCGTAACTGCCATGCACAATCAACAAAACCGTAACATTTCAGTCGCTATAAAACTTTTGTACAGTATTCAGTAACTTAGTCTTTGTTTGTTTTCCAACATCAATTATTCAGGAGTCGCCAGTATTCCTGCTCCTGGACGGTTTTTGCTATCTCTGCACCAGCACAGCAGCAAGTTGTAAAAAAAGCTTACCTTCCAGAAATAACATGATAATTTTGTTGACAATTCTATGATAATTTTTTTTTTCGGTTTCAAACAGGGTCTCGGGAAGTATGTCTTGTTCGATTATAGGGATGCACCTGAACTTGGTTCTGATCGGAACTTTTAACTGGGCATAGTTGGAACCGGATAACTCAGTTTTATTTGGAAAAAAGGATAACAGATTTACTTCTCGAGAACACTGATGAAATATTTGTTACATACATAAAAGGGCTAATAAAGATGCTAGTATGTCAAGACTTAAAGTTTGTTCGTTCACTGCAACCAGGTATATCAATCATGTTTCGCTCGCTACTCTGGTTTAAATAAATGATTACAAAGCCCAGTCGAATTGTAATCAAGACCCAATGTTTCGACACTCCAGTCTAGTGTCTTCATCAGGGGTGATCTAAAGATGCAATCGTGGCTTCTTAAATACCCAAGGGATGACGTCACCTGCCAATGAGATGCATATATTCCTCTGGCAAATAGGCACCGTCATCCCTATTCAAAGCATGATTACTCATATTTATATGCCACGCTTCTAGGCAAAGTATTTGACTATAGCGATTGTTTGTGGTAATTACTTTAGAGTTTTCCCACGCAACCTCGTGTTTGGTGTAACATACATGTTCGGCTAAAGCTGATTTTCCCTTGTCTAAAGTTGAAACGGCAAGACTTCATAAAATTTAATCTTTAAATACAGGGTGCGTTCCATTAACAATTATATGCCTCTACCAATCCAGCAGGAGACGTTTAACAAGTGACCAACCGGATTCCCTTCTGACTAAATCCGCTTTTGGTCGAAATTTAAATTTGGTTGAGGTGCACACCCATATTCGATCAAATATGATTTTGTAGCTCGGAAAAACGACAGAAATAATAGTTCTACCTTTCTTGTGATTGTGTAGTAACGTCCACGGCATCATCTTCATCACTGCTCGTTTCAACTTCGTCTCCTAAATCTTGTTCAAAACAATAAAATGTTTCTGGCAATTCATAAAGTTGTGCTCGCTCTTTTTGTTCTGGGGATGGAACTTTCTCAAAGATAATTACAACTTCGTCAACATCATCACTTAGTTTTTCTTCAACACTTGTTGATTCATTTGCTTTTATTTCATTCTTCTCTTGACATCCAATAAATTTATCACGAAACATCACAGCATCTTCACGATGTTTAAATCGAACAGCGAGAAGTTCGTTCTTTTGGCCACCATCTGCAAAATCTGCGTCCACTGACCACACCCATGATCGATCTGATCCTTCATTCTCCTTCAGTTCCATACCAGCTGTTATATAATGATTGGCACAGAGTTTGTGAATCTGCTCTCTTCTCATCACTACTCGACATCGCTTTGTTTCATTATGAAGTAAAATTTTGATATCCCCAACACCACGTTCCTTCCATTGTTTTGTATCGAAGTCATATCGAAATAATTTAGCACGATGAGTGTAAACAACAGTTTCATCTTCCTCTCCAGTTTTCTGTTCAGCAATGTCAGGTAATGAAACAATAGGTTTGAAATCAGTTCCTTCAACTTCTCTTTCAGGGTCATCTTCATCATTTGAACTGAATAGCTGTCCACCACCACCTAGAAATCCTTTCCACGTTCCCTCGCGTGTCGTTGGAAAACCTGATGTTTGTTGAGCCAGCTCAGAAAATGACAGTGTGGACGTTTCCTTCGATCCAAACTGGAATATTGGAGTGGTTTCTTCATTTTCTGGAGAGCTGTCATCTTTTTCCGGAACGCTGAAAACGGCCAAATTCAATGTGAGCATTTACTGAGTAAGTACTATACATACTGCCTTTTTGCAATGAACTATGAAGTGTAAAATGTTTCATTTAGTAACGTTTATTGTCGTAAACTGGAAATTTTTACTGATCCACGTTTTGACCAGCCTATATTCTTTTGCTGGAAATTCTTTTCAAGTGAAATCGCAAAATAAAAGGGGCTGTTCAGACTATCTGATGAACATCATTAATTTGTACAAGTTTTTTAAAACAACATTCTAAAGAATTCAACTCATGAAATACATTACTTCAAAATTACCTTTCTTGTGATTGTGTAGTAACGTCCACGGCATCATCTTCATCACTGCTCGTTTCAACTTCGTCTCCTGAATCTTGTTCAAAACAATAAAATGTTTCTGGCAATTTATAAAGTTGTGCTTGCTCCTTCTGTTCCGGGGATGGAACTTTCTCGAAGACAATTACAACTTCATCAACTTCATTGCTTGGTCTTTCTTCAATACTTGTTGATTCACTTGCTTTTATTTCCTTCTTCTTTTGACATTCAATAAATTTATCACGAAACATCACAGCATCTTCGCGATGTTTAAATCGAACAGCGAGAAGTTCGTTCTTTGCAACACCATCAGAAAAGTCTGCGTCCACTGACCACACCCATGATCGATCTGATCCTTCATTCTCCTTCAGTTCCATACCAGCTGTCATATAATGATTGGCACAAAGTTTGTGAATCTGCGCTCTTCTCATCACCACTCGACATCGCTTTGTTTCATTATGAAGTAAAATTTTGATATCCCCAACACCACGTTCCTTCCATTGTTTTGTATCCAAGTCATATCGATATAATTTAGCACGATGAGTGTAAACAACAGTTTCATCTTCCTCTCCAGTTTTCTGTTCAACAATGTCAGGTAATGAAACAATAGGTTTGAAATCAGTTCCTTCAACTTCTCTTTCAGGGTCATCTTCATCATTTGAACTAAATAGCTGTCCACCACCACCTACAAATCCTTTATTCTCGTTAGGTTGACTGGTGAAACCACATGACTGGTTAGCAAGAGAAGCAAATGATAGTGTTGAAATATCGCCGGAACCAAACGTAAAAACAGGACCACCACCGTCCACAACAGAACTTGATTCTGCATCACCTTCAGGTTCTTCATTCTCGACTGCACGTTCTGTTTTACCAATATTTTTGTCTTCTGTGTCAGGAAAGAGCTCTTTCACGATTTCAGTTTTATCTGCATCTTTATTTGTGTCTGGAGGGTTAACTTTCTCTTCTTTCAGCCCAGTGTATATGGCTTTACCAGCAACGATAGAATGGAAGTTGAAGTTTACTCTCATAACAGGTTCAGTACTCGGACTGGGTTGGTCGATATTGCTAAGAATTTCTCTTGAGAATGATTTCGCTGAAGAACTGGAAGTTCTTGTTTTACGTTGGCTACTTGAAGATCCTTTGGCTTGTTCTGGTGGTGAATCTTTTGATGGTGTCTTTGAAGAGCTGCTGAGAGGTAAAGACTTTAGTCCTGCAACTAGTTGTTTCCTGTCACTAGTCTGCTCGTCGTCCAAGGTACTGGATGTTTCACCAGGAGACTGTGACGCTTCACGTTGTTCCTCTTCATTATCTCCTACATTCCTCGGAGTTCCCTTATTATCCAATGTATCGTCCGTAGTACTGTCAACGTTTCCAGGAGAAGCACTTTTGTCTTCTTGTGTCTTCAGAATTGTATCTAAGGCGTCATTGCTGACAGTTGCATCCACGCTAAAGTTGTGCTCCTTTACGTCTTCATTTCTTCCTCCACTCGCAGTAGAACTCGCAAGCTCTTCTTTACACATGTCAAACTTGTCTTTAAATTCTTGTGCAATTTCGGCATTCTTAAATCGAACTGCAAGTTGTTCAGCTTTCGGTTCTCCATCAGATATGTCAGCATTAGTGTGCCACACCCATGAACGATCTGAACCTGCGTTTGCTTTAAGTTCCATATCAGCAGTCAAGAAATGATTAGCACAAACTTTGAAAATTTGATCTCGTCTCATTAACACTCGAACTTGTCCAGTTATTTTATGTTTGAGAAGTTTTAAATTCCCCACACCTCGTTCTTTCCATTGAGCAGTATCTTTATCATAACGATATAATTTCGTACGTTGTGTGTAAATGTTGATTTCATTCTCTTCACCACTCGACTGTTCAATCTTCTCAAGTTGGACAATTGGTTTGAAATCAATACCGCTGACCTCACGTTCTGGATCGTCGTCCTCTTGATTATTGTCTTGAACAAACAACTGTGAACCAGCCCCGGTAAAGTCCTTATTTGGAGATGACTTACTAAATGCAGGGCTCGAGCCCAGGCTACTGGCAAGAGCGTTGAAAGAGAGAGATGTAATGCCAGCCGAGCCAAAGACAAAGGATTGCGGTGCAGGTTTGGCAGGGACAACTGATAATCTATAAATTAATTACAAACAAATTATTAAATACAACATCTATAAATCACAAACATTCCAACTAAGAAAGACTTCTTTTTAACACAAGTGTTCGTTCACATATTCTCTGTTCATTTTACATGAAATTATACAAATTTCCTAGTTTGTCATTGCATATCAAAATTATCTAAAATAATATGAAGTATCGTCTCCTTGGACTAGTAATGAACAATTCATTCCCTATTTTTCCTGTAATATTACAATTTCGGATTGGGAGCAAACACTTATTGGTACGTTTCAACACGGCGATTTGTCTTGCCGATGTGGATGAAAAATAAACGTCCCGACAAGTCGCAGTTTGTAAACATACCTTAATAAAGAAAGTTATGCAAAAGATAATTGTGTCTTACGTTTCCTGGATATCTTGCTTTTCCCCAGGAACGTCTTCATTCTGGTTTTCGTAAGCGTAAAAGTTTGGAGGTAACAGGAACTTTGCAGCTCGAGCACGTTGTTCTTCTGTCACAGAAACTTCATAAACCACAATCACTTCGTCGTCCAAAACACCCTCGTTCAGTAATCTCACTTTATTATCTAAACATTCCTCAAAAGCGCGCTTAAAAGCTAAGGCAGTGTCCTTATCTCCAAATTTAACAGCAAATAACTGTTCCTTCGCCTCGTTGTCAGCAAAATCACCCTGGACATGCCACAGCCAAGATTTATTAGATGAACCTTGCGGTTGGAGTTTCATATCTTTAGATATAAAATGATTAGCACATAAGATATGGACTTGATCACGTCTCATGATTATACGACCGCGTTTCCCAGTTGGATCATACAAGATTTTCATCTCTCCTACACCTCGTTCTTTCCAAGTACTCTGAGTAAAGCGGTATAGTTTAGCATGACTGCTGAATAATGTTGTCTCACCTTCTTCTCCAGTCTTTACATCTACTCGACTCGGCAACGAAACAATTGGTTTGAATGCAACACCTTCATCCTCTGCCTCGGGGTTGTCCTTGTTCAGATCTTTATTACTTGCTGATGTCATTGTTGGTTCTTTGGGAATATCCAAATGAAAAGTAAAAGCTCCTTGGGATAAAAGATTTGCGGCATCTCCAAGTTTAGGAAGGTCCTTGGAATCAACTTCTCCTTTCTTGGTCACAATGGACTTGTCTATTGGTTTTTTTGTTTCTAAATGCACGCCGTCTCCGCTAGTATCGTCACCACTGTTACTAAAGTGAAACCCAGGCTGATTTGTTTGGACATCACCGAAGTTAAACCCAGATTGGTCACTTGCTATAGATCCAAAGGTGAATCCTTTATTGGCATTGCCCAAGTCGCCAAAGCTGAAGACAGGTTTGCTACTTTCTCCCTTTGAATCGCCAAATATGGGGCCAGATTTTCCAGTCTCTTCGGTTTGTGGTGTAGAACCGAAATTAAATCCTGAGCTACCGGCTTTCTCGTTTGTTGGGGCACTAAAGTTAAATCCAAATGCCTGGCTGTCTTTTGGATCATTTTCAAACATAAACCCTCCACTTAACGGCTTTCCAAATGTGAACCCTGCACTCGGTGTAGATTCTGTTGTAGCTGAATGACTAAACCCTCCCCGATTAGGAAATGATTGACCAAATATGTTAGAATCAAGAGATTGTTTTGTTTGGCCAGGTTTAGGAGTCTGGCAAGCCGCACAGCTATGGCTTTGTTTATTATTTCTTACCATACAAACGTCACAGTCCCACGAACCTTCAGGTGCTTGAAACTTCTGTTTCAGATCATCATTACCTGGGTAAGATGAGTTGTCTTGAAATGTAGAACCAGTACTGTCCGCTTCTTTTCCAGATGAAGAATCTCCGGATAAGCCGGCGCTAGGCTTTGACGCTTCACACGCCACACATCTCACTACGTCTGCAGTATTTTGTATCAGACATGTTTCACACTCCCATGAACCCACTGGATGTTTTAAAATCAACTGTAGGTCCTTTTCAGACAGACTAGTTGATCCTGGTGTAGGTAATTTTAGAAAGCTATCTTCTCTGCTTGCTTCATGAGAATTGATGGAGTATTCTTCAGACGCTTCAGAATCAGAATCCGACTCCGTCGTTTCTTCACTGTCGGTATCACCGTCATCAAAAGAGGTAGTTCTACGTTGTCCAATATTTGCTGAATCAGTAGATAAGCTTGGTGGCTCTTTGTCCGAATCTTTATTTGTTGTGTTGGGATCAAAGGTCGTTTTGTTCGAGTCTTTGCTTGCATCGCTAGGGCCAAAACTGAAACCAGTTTCTTTAGTTGAATCTTTGTTTGCACCACTGGGATTAAAACTAAAGTTAGGTCCTTTACCTAAATTTCCATCTTTAGGACCAAAAGTGAAACCAGTTCCACTACTTTGATCTTTATTTGGGCCAAAAGTGAAGCCAGTTCCACTATTCTGATCTTCGGTTTTATCTGCAGGAGCAAAAGTAAAGCCAGTTCCTGCACTTGAAAGTTTACTTGTATCACTAGGGCCAAAACTAAAGCCACTTCCTTCCGTTGGCTCCCGAGGACAAAAACTAAAGCCAAATGGTGTATCAGTGTTAGGCGCAGTATGGCTAACTGCAGGTTGTGTTCCAGATTTAGGACTCTGACATGCGACACAAGCACTCGACTCTGGAACATTACGAACCAAACATGTGTCACATTCCCATGATCCTTCAGCAGGTTGAAATGCTAACTTAAGATTGTTGGTAACTGCTGGAGCTTTAGTTACATCACTACCACCAAAGCTAAAACCAGTTTCTTTGACTGAATCTTTACTACCATCACCCGAACCAAAATTAAAACCAGTTCCTGCACTAGGAGCTTTGCTTGTATCACCAGCACCAAAACTAAAGCCAGAAGTCGTACCAGTGTTGAAATTAAACCCAGGATTGGTGACTGTAGGTTGTGTTCCAGATCTGGTAGTCTGACATGCTACACAAACATTCGATTCAGGCGTATTTCGAACTAGACACGTGTCACATTCCCATGATCCTTCAGCAGGTTGAAATGCTAACTTTAGATCGTTTCCGGGTAAACTAGGTTGAGTAAGCAAGTCTTTCAAAGACGTCTCTTTGACGGGGGTAACTGTGGGACCAAATTTATTATTTTCATTGTTTGTATCTTGAGATGTTGGAGGAATCTGGAAAGGTAGTGCATTTGAAGTGCTTCTTTGACTAGCATCGTTGTCTGATTTTGGAAATGCAAATGGAGGTTTGTAAGCTTTCTGTTCACCAAAGGTTGATTCATTGAGCAAAGTTTTGCCACTCCCAAACAAAAATCCCGAATTAGGACTAGACTGTGAAGTGTCGCTCTCTGGAGCTTTATCTTTTGGTGCTTGTAATCCAAAGGAGAAATTTGGTGAACCAAACGTAAATCCTGAATTGAAAGCAGGCTTTTCACTATCGTTTGCCTGTGAGGTGGTCGTTGCTTTACCTCCTGATGCTGGTGATCCGAAGGAGAAACTCGAAGGTGGGACAAACGAAAACGTAGGTTGTCGAGTTTGTTTTGAGAAGCCAGGTTTAGGTGTTTGACATGCAACACATTGCGTAGTCTGTGGAGAATTTTGAACCAAACATGTGTCACATGGCCAGGAACCAGCGGGAGGTTGGAACTGAAGCTTAAGATCGTTATTAAATTGTGGTCCAGTGGATTGAGAGCTCGGTGCTACAGACATGGTAGTAGACGTGTCTTGATCAGCATCCGGGTCACTAGCTTTAGATGTAGGAGATATAGACTGAAGTTCTTCAAACACTTTCTTAAATTCAGACGCAGTTTTTTCTAGTTTAAACTTGACAGCCAGTTGTTCAGCTTTAGGTTCGCCATCTGACACATCAGCATGTGTATACCATAACCATGAACGGTTAGATGTCGTATTTGCTTTTAACTTCATACTTGGGTGTACAAAATGATTAGCACAAAGTTTGTGTACTTGTTCTCGCCTCATGACCACGCGAGATCTGCCAGAAGAAGGATCGTACAACAGTTTGATTTCACCCAAACCTCGTTCCTTCCATTCTTTGCTCGCTGGATCAAATCTGAATAGTTTAGCTCTTTCACTGAACCTGGTCAGCTCGCCTTCCTCACCAGTGGTTTGATTCTTTACAAGCGGAAGTGATACGATTGGTTTAAAATCAATATTTGCCTCGTTTTCAATATCATTTTCTTCCTCTCTTTCGTTGTCTGGGACTGAGAAGATCGGTTTTCCAAAACCAGTAAAACCCGTTCCGCTTGTGCCAGGCGATGTAAACGCATTGTTTGACACCAAATCCTGGAAAGATAAACTGCTTTTCTCCGAAGTGCCACGAAAGATAACCCCATTCGTAGATCCGTTTTCATCTTCATTCTTAGAGACCGCATTCGGAGTAGATGAAATCTGTTCATTTCCAAGAGAAACCGAAGCCTCTGGCTTGTTTCCAAAGGAGAAAGAAAATGCGTTTTGTGGATGTAAGGACGAGGATAAACCGTTAGATTGAAAAGCAGCTGAAGCTAATGGTTGCTCAGAGCCAAGATGAGGTGCTTGAAAAGGAAGTGGTTCTTTACTGTTATCTTTGTACGACTGAAAATAAGGCATGTTAGGACTTGCAGGAAACATGTGAGGTTGATTCCAGAAATTTGCCGCATCAGCTACACCACTACTCTTCGGGCTTGTCCCAGCTATGGTGGCAGAAGGAAAAGGTGTTTCCGCCGAAGACGTTGTTGATTGCCCACTATCTGCAAACGGTTGCAAACCAGACTTCGTAAACATCACTGCCCCAGCTGGTTTATTTGGAGTAGAAGATAAATATGGCAGGTTTGAAGATAACATTGGCACCTGCATGTGATCTGGAGTGGGTTTTGTCGCCAGAGGATTAGCTGCAAATGGAGAGACTGCTGGTGACTCTGGCACAAAGGATGCTTTCTTTTGTTGTAGTTCTTCAAATGTTGCTTTAAATTTCTCTGCAATTTCTTTTGTTTGAAATTTGGCTGCAAACTGCTCAGGTTTAGTTTCATCGTCAGATATATCTGCCAGGGTGGTCCAAACCCAAGATCTATCTGAACCTTTACCAGCTTTCAATGTCATGTCTTGAGTAAGAAAATGATTGGCACAAATCTTTAGAACTTTTTCACGCCGCATGAGGATCCTTGCTTGACCAGTAGTGTTGTTCCATAACAATTTGAGATTTCCTAAACCTCGTTCCTTCCATTCCCCATCTTGGAAACGAAATAGTTTTGCTCTTTCTTCAAAGATAACCGTTTCATCCTCCTCACCAGATCTGAATTCAACTTGACTTGGTAGTTGTACAACTGGTTCAAAATATATATCTTCACCATCCGTTTCTTCCTCACTCTCATCCTCCTGCTCTCCGTCCAGGACAGTCTGGATTCTATCCGGAGTATTGCTGTTACTAAGACCCGAGAAAAACGAAGGATCATTATATCTATCTGTAGGAACTACGATGTTATTTATAAATGTCCCTTGACGAGTAAACTTCTCTCCCGTCTCAAGATGAACTGCGGGTGATTCATCAAGTGGACTTGGTGTTCTTTCAGAAGGGCAAGAAAATGATACTGAACTCGTGTCTCCGACTTCTTTGTATCTTGCAAGTTTACCCTGAAAAGTAAACAGAAAAATTAGACTTGTGCCTTATCTTTTACTGTATGTACAGCATAATAATATGTAGTACGAGGCTCGCTAAAACGTCTTTCAAGTTGATCAGACAAAATATCCGACAGTTTTGTTAATCCGTCTGGCATTTTGTCAAATTAACGGGACAAAATGTGCGACTAAAGGAATACCAAATGGTTTTCCGCGTCATCCATGCACGCAGGATATTGCGAGACTATCGGAAAGCGTAAAACAACACGAGTCGCATAATTGTTTTATAAAATAACGGCTACAGTGAAACAACGGTCAACTTTATTAAAACGTTCACTTTATTTAAACGTTATTTAAATGGTTAACTTTATTAACACTTTTGTTAACATGTCTCTCTTTTAAAATACTGTTAACTTCACATGTTAAAATGTTGTTTCTGTCCGATATTTTTCATTTTCAATTTGACAAAATTAGAAAAACCTAACCTGGGCGATGCATGCACATCGAGAAAAACACATGCAAAACGACGTCATAATATATAAAATCAAACTAATAACTAGAAATTTAGAGATTAACTCGATAAAAATATGTCTTTGCCATTGTAAGTCGTTTCATTTATGAATATTTTTGTAAACCAGTATCCAGAGGTTCATATTAGAGAGGTTCAGATTTGACTGATTGGTTGATCGGATATATCAAACGCATTTGATTGGTTAATCGGATATATCAAACGCATCTGATTGGTTAATCGGATATATCAAACGCATCTGATTGGTTAATGGTCGCTTAACTGTAGCAGTGGTGGAAGTCAAACCTCTATATCATTTTTTACTTTCACTACCGGTACCATTAACAAATCAGACGCCTTTAATTTACCCGATTAACCAATCAAGTACGCGGTATAAAGCCTGTGAGAGGTAGCGGTAGTGGAACCTCTCTTGTCTTCGATATCCGACTGTTAAATCGAGCTTTGGTACTAGCTGTGAACGTTTACTCCTGGGTGCCAGTTATACCCCATCAATTTATCAATACCATCGCTTTCTTAATTAGTTGGATAAACAACACTCTGCACCTTCACGTGAACTAACCTGCAACTCTTGTACTTGTCTAGATAGTCTCAGTACTTGTTCATCCCGAATGGAAACCTGTTCACGAAGGAAGCCATTATCCAAAGTCACTTCACTTACAGTCGCCAGCAGTTCTCGTGTATCATTTTCCTGAATTGAGAGGAGCATAATGGTTTTAAACCTGGGCTGTAGGACGGCAATAATTAGTTTGAACCAAATATTTCGAGTTTGATGTTTCAATCCAGCGGTGCACAACAATAGCTTGAAATCGAGGTGGGCAATGCAATCCAATGAAAATTAGTAGTTTTCAATGCCAGCGAACAAACTGGGGAAGCGTCTGTTGAAGTATATTACATGAAGCACACGTAATTACGTTTCTTTCATTGATTAACAATTAAATTCAGGGTGAAAATCCTTTTCATCTGAGATGTTTCCACAAAAAAGAAAATTGTATTTAAATAAAAGTCTTTGGACCATATACACGCAATTTGTTTGTTAGTAAAGGCATGGTCGCTGTATGCAGGTATATGTGCAGTGTATAACACAAAATGAAACGGATGTGATGTAGCCGTGGGCCTATTAACATTGAAACTGTCAACAAAGTGTTTTGGCTTAGTATACTGTAAGTTTTGATACCCTTATAAGCTCTCCAAAAGACAATATACACCCTACCTTTAAAGGCATTGTTTCTCCTGACTCCGTAATATCTGAGCAAACAGGACTTTTTAGTGCGTCAAAATCAAGTTGATGAAAATCAATACTCTTCCCTGAAAAGAAGGGATTCAATACAAAATAAGCATCCAGTAAATGTCGCTTTCAACTTTATTTAAATAATAAAAATATCTTAAGTAGAAATTTCCCACATAAATAATGTTACCTTGAAGCAACCATACAGTACCTGCCAACTAATCGTCTCAATTATGTTTGACATTATGCGCCAAACACGATGTAGCGAGTCACTTTAGATTTTAATGGTTGTCTTGAAGTTGGAAACCGAGTAAATTTATGCATTACAGTGTATTTTTTGGAGTAGAACAAATAATTTGCATTATTTCCAATTTTCTATTGATTTGTATTTTGGACAGTTTGATTACCCCATTTTTTCACTGCTAATTTTCAAGATGGTATTTTATAATGTGGTATACAAATTAAGAAGTGTATTAGTGATTCATACGAATTAAGAAAGAATGCGCATTACTGAATCAAACAGCATACACTGTAAGTTGAACTTACTCGGGTCAACATGGTAGAAAGATTTTCTCTCGTTCATTAAAGATTCTATCGCAGCAAGCTCTTCTTCAACGGCATCACGAACAACCTGGTAATTAGAGTTTATTTGTTTATTGAGTTTCTCACTTATTGGTGTAACGAAACGTCGGCTGATATGGATGCAACTACCTGAAAAATACAAGGAGAACTTCGACTTGCCCAATTGATAAGGGATCTGAAGTACCTACGATTTTAACGTCCTTATCGGAGAAGATGCGAAAGTCTAACCATTTACTGATGTGAATGTAAAGGTAGCTCGTTCTCCTCAATTATTTTAAGACCTTGAGTAGAGGTCCGACCAAGGATTGAACCCGGATCTCCCATCTCCAGCTTAAATGGCAAGGGTGGTGACCACAAGAAAGAAGCCTGGGTACGAGGTTGGCCACAACAAGAGCTGGTTGAGAATAGAGACGGTATAGCATGAAGCTTGACAAGACCCTAAGCTCATTTATCACATGGATCGACTAGACGAAATAACATCATAGACGAATCTAGGAGTAGGGCGCTGGGGGAGTGCGTACCTTTTACAATTCTAAGAAACCACTTGAAAAGCCCAACACTGATACACTGTTACTATAATTTAGCACAATACTTATAATAAGGCGTACAGTACAACGCTCATTGGTCTACACACACTAAAGCGTATCTTTCTGGTTACCGTGCTGTGTGTTTGGAAGTGGGGGGAGACTATCATAGTCAGTTTATTTTTTAAAAATGGCATCGAAAAAGTGTGGGGGAAATGGCTCGCCCTGCCCACCTAGGTCCCTGCTTTTAACGATCGAGACCTGTCGAAGACAAGTAACCCTCCATTCTCAGGTTGCTGGGACACCACCAAGACTACTTAATGCATGATAAACTACCTACACTGGATTCCAGATTTTAATTACTGAAAGTATACCTTGTCATACTCGAGTCTATCAAGACATAACAACAGTCTATCCTTGGTTTCATTCAAGTACTGTATGTACGATTCATATGCACGATCATCTACGTCAGCATTACGCGACTCCAGTCCTGCTAAATGTTTGAAAATCTAGACAAGAAAACGCAAATTTCAAATTCGTGAGCTCCATATGAATATCTGGAGTGAGAACTCGAGTCCAAAAATGAAGTCAAAGATGGAGATGTTGGACGTCAGTTTCAGTCCCTTTCTATTGTTTTTGTCTGCGCGGTCTGCAAGGAGTGTGCCGAAATTTCGTATTTTGACTTCGATTTAAAGACTAACACAATGGTTTAATGAACTGATAAGTTGATTAGCGATACGGCCCGTTAGAAAAAATGTCATGTGTCGAAATTGACGTTTACCACCATGTGTGGCACCGTTCGTTTTCTGTCTGAAAAATCTACCTAAATATACGACGTTATATACTTTGGTTTACACAGGAAATTTCTGTTTTGGATTTTGTTGGCAGGGTAATATTTTTCTAGGCCTGTTCAATTGAGTAATCTATATTATAATATAACAATATGCGTTGATTGGTCGAGAACAGGGCTTTATACTATAGAAGCGTCCTGGTCGAGAAACTTGTTGCTACAGTACAGCTGGACGGGAGGGAAATTTTTCGTCTCGTAGCTTTGATTTTAAACGTAAACAAAACAACTTTAACACGCGCTGTAATAAAAACAATGTGTAATAATATTGGTTCTGACAAGCAAATTAAGGAACCACAAAACAAAAAGCGAATTCTGAGTTTAAATAAAGGAGAACTAATTTATATTGACTATTTTATAGCAAAGGCCGGACAACCGATCGAGTGGACTTCATGCTGAGGTAATGTGAATTTGTACACAAATCTATAGAAGTTATATTATCCCACAGCCTTCGGGCTCGCTTTCCCACTGATTATTTCTCGTTCTCCCAAACTCCCACGCGTGTTTCTATACTGTAATTGTATACTGTATAACTGTATAGAAACACGGAAAATGTTTTCTATTTTTTAAACTGGCATTACCTGAGCTTCATTCCAGGCAGCATGTGACGATTCAACACGACTGAAAAGATTCAATGCATGTTCAAGATCTCCTCTCTCTACAGCTGCCTCGCCAAGAGTCATACACGCTTCACGGAAATATCTGTGAATATCGTGATCCTAGAATTCCAAGAAATATGTCATGTAAACATCCAATTAGTAAGTTACCACTAGTAACAATATTTTGAACACTCTAAATTTAAAGACACAAAACATTTACTTTTGAAATGGTATCAATAAATAAGCGTATAACATATCAAACAGACAAATACCTCTAAATGATTTAGGTTATGGGGAAACAGCGGATCTTTTGGACAGCCTGGGTTTTTGTTTCTAAAATAGAATTTAATAAAAATGTTAAGCAGGCAACCAAGATATACAAGCTTCCTAGAAACATACAGAAATTTAAAAGCACACAAAGTAATTGTAAAGCAGCATACCTCTTCATGTCTTCGAATAAACTCAAAGCAACATTCCAGTAATGCAGACTTCGTAACTGAAAACTCTATCAGTAAGAAAATAAATAGTTCAGAGCAACAAGCAGTGGGCAAGACACTTTATAAACTAACAAATTGTCAGAGAAAATTATTATTATTATTGTCAACTTTATTTCCAGAGGGTGTACAAACCACATAACAGTAAAAACAGATAAACCAGTGGCCCTCAAAAGCAACTCTACATTATATTAAGATACGGTAAATTATGAAACAAATCACAAAGGTATTTCATTATCCTGACCATTAAATAAAGCAACTGTGTAAATTAGATTCGATCGTTTCTTAACAGCGCAGTTACCTTCCAGTGGGTAGAATAATACCATTGTGAATAACCAGCAGCATCTTTTAGGAGAAGAGACTAAACAAAATATTTACCATATTAACTAAAACTATGTTAAACCGGCCGACAAAAAATAAAAGAGGTTAAACAAATACGAGTTACTAAAAACAATATAACTTGATAAAAGGTCATATTACACCTTTTTCACCAAAACATCATGATCATGACCAATGAAATGGCCTGCGCTAACATTGTGCTTGCAAAAACAGGGGAGTTATGCACGAGCCAATCACTCCTCTTTCACTGTTTAACTCCGACTGTACCACTAGTTGTGCAACTGAACCTCTAATACATTCTGGAGCGTTCATTCACAACCCTCAATTTCCCATCGTTATTTAGAGTTCTGTTTCTAAGTACAGTTCAAACAGCGCTAGAAATAACAGATCCCTAAGTCTGTGCGTTTTAACCTACTAGAAATACATGCATGCAACAACCCCTCGCTTTTATTTTCCAAACATTGATTCAACATGAAGTATTCCTAGTTAAGCCAACATTGATTCAACATGAAGTATTCCTATAATTAAGCCAACATTGATTCAACATGAAGTATTCCTAGCTATAATTAAGCCAACATTGATTCAACATGAAGTATTCCTATAATTAAGCCAACATTGAACGCGGGCTCGCGTCCTGTTACTAAAGTCGCGTCAGGATTATTTTTTAATTTTTTGCACAAAACGGCAAAAATAAATGAAATTTTAACTATAGGACTATCAATTTCTAAAATATGTATAGGAGCTATAGGTACGTCAGTGGTTTCAAAACTTTTCATAGTAGACGTTGCGTTGGGAAGAGTAGGAGTTGCAACCGAAAGCCGAACTTCGCAACTTGGGGGATCTGACGGCATGCTCAGGGACCACAGAGCCATTTTTGGATTAGGGGGGCTATAGCGAACGCCGAAGGCGTGAGTTTGTTAGGGGGGTCCTGGGGCATGCTCCCCCGGGAAATTTTGAAATCTGAGATCTCCCAGAGCCCCTGGAAATGCAATCAACTTCACTAGTTGCTGTAAAAAAGTTTCTTAATAAACGACTCTTAATTAATCTATTATTACCCGTCATTTGTTTAATCCAACCAGAAATAGATTGAATACTTGGCTATATAAGTTATAAATATATTGTGAACTGATCTGAAAGAGTTTAGTATTCTTATTTTATAAAAATCACATATGTATGGAAAATTCCCTGATATTGCTTGAATTTGCTTCCAGAAAATTTTGAACTTCTAGAATCTAGAAGATGCATTTTCCAGCATTTGTTTTTGAGACACAAAAAATCATATTTTAAATGTCTAAAACACTGTTAAATTTATGTTCTTATAATTAATGCCTATAACAACAACGTCCAATAACAATAGCGACTACATCTCCGCTGGCTTTCTTTGTCGTTTTTCCGCCATTTTGTTTTGTTCTTGGAGACGAGTGTGACATCTTATACATAAAGTACAACCTGTTAGAAACCGCTACCAAGAAAACCTCTGAGCCTGTCCTCAACACGCAAGAAACGCGTACGTATCAAAGCTTCTAATCCAGTAAGCTGTGACTGTGGCTATGTTTCGACGAAATTCCAGGGGAAATAACGCTTGTTTGCTCACAAAACATTTTGTAAACACTTAATTAGAATTTATAGTTACTTACAAAAGAGAAAGTAGCCGTCGCAAATGGAAGAGTTGCAGTCGGATGCGACGGGCGACGGCTTATTTTGAAACCATGCACTGTACGTTATTTTGTATTCTTTTGCATTTTAATGTAAAATTCAAGATGAAACTCTTCGTAAAACATTTTTAAATAAATGTTCGTTGAAATTAACAGCTTTTTGCCAATTGCCTTGCAACAGGGAAAAAATGACAAAATCATGCATTCTACCTTTTGACCAAAATTCGTAGCTAAATGAATGACAAGTTTTGGATGCATTCCTTGGTTCTTTAACGTACGTATTTGTTCTAATCCACGTTGAACTGTCATCTTGACTCTTCCAGAAGATGAAACACTAAAAACACAAGTAAAAATACCAGAACATTTCACATTGACATCATAGTACGCGACATTCATCAGGATCAATGTATAGGTTAACTCGCGTTCTTCAGGGGCGGGTTGTACGAAGGCTGAATAATGATTATTTCAAACTTCTAAAATTTGCTGTTGATAGAAGTTGAGTAATTTCGTATCGCCTAGCTACAAAGCTATACTGTGATTGCAAAATGGGCCAAACGGCAGGGCTGCATAATATAGCGGACCGCGGAACCATTGGTCCCAGAAAATTTTTGAGGTTGGCAGAAAAAAATGGAGGGTAAAACTTAAAAGTCTCAAAAGAAAAAAAAGTAAAGAGAAAGAAAGGAAAAACAGAAAGGAAGAAAATGAGAAAAAAAGACATAATTGAATAATAAGCTGTAGGTAGTGAACTAGTGATGTTTGCAACATGCAAGTAACACAAGTTACCAATATACCAGTACAGGCGGCACTCCAGCAGCCTGATATTAAGGTCAAAGACAGGCAGATAGCAGTCTAGCAGATATTAAGACGAAATCCTCTATGCGGTTGTTATAATTGATTTCATCTAGTGTATTAGCTACTTCTGAAAATACCACTCCAGTTATATATGAATACAACTCATTTAACAACTACAGTATGTGGATTAAAAAGTGTACGAGTGTGGTGATTTCTTACAATATAGTAAAAAATCTAAGCAATATGTTCCAATACACAACAGCCTTCTGCCCTTCTCATGAACTTTCATCCATTAATTAAGATGATATTCATAACAAATATATATATATTTCCTCAACTTGTTTATTATCCTATAACTTTTCATTAGTTTATTACCCTATAACTTTGCGGTGCAATTCGCTAAAATTTCCGTCATTGTAAAACCGCGTAGCAGAATAAAGCTGCTGGGAACGAGTCTTACCTTACAGTTCCAGTAAAGAGTGTGTAGACAGCGTTCCACCAGTCAGTTTGTGTTGGAATACAGAGAGATGGACACAGACATAACGGAAGAAGTTTGGGTTGATAATATTCATACACCACATCAAGATCTTCAAATATTCCATGAGCGCTGCATTTTATCACAGCATAAATAAACGCCTAGTGTAGAATAAGCATTTAGCATGAATACACTACTTCAATGTAGTATGTAAAACATGAGCAGCAGTGTTTTATCAGATATAAAGATACGAGGCGAAGCCGAGTATCTTTAGGTCTGATAAAACACGCACTGCGAATGTTTTAAATTGCTTCAAAAACGATCGATGTAGTAAGTTCGTTGACGAAGTAATTTTCAAAAAATACGTTGTGTAAGTCGAGAAAATCAAAGTTAAAGTTGATGTAAATCAAGGGAAATCTCTATCACATATAAAGATACGACACGCTTATGATCTTTCTTTGTGTTTTCCTCATGAATTATTAATGTGTTTTCCTCATGAATTATTAATGTTTTTTTGAAGTGTTTTCAAGTGAGGTCAATGTGACCATGTTGGCTCGTAACAAAGTTCCGACGTTTATCAGAGCGAATAATGTATGCAATTCGCTCGGGGCATTAATTCTAGTGTAACATGTTGCCGATGAACTGGCACGTGACTAATGACTTGTAATGAGCGCATTGATTGCCTCCCGAGGTACAAATAAACACACAAAAGATCTCAACAAGTGTTTTTTATACTGGACGACAACTCAACGGTCGATGACGACAGTACTCACACAGTCAGCTAAACCAAGCGACGTTTTTGTCAACACAGAACTCACCCGAAAATTGAAATATTAACACATTTTCGTGGCATTTTGCATCAGAGCGTTCGTGTAAGAAAGCAAAAAACTTTTAAAATCTTATTGTCGAAAACGTAGCACTCTCGATCCACTACGTTTCCTTAAGACTCATAATTCACTTTAGATAACGTTCTTTATTTAAATATAAACTATAAACTCACATCACCGTATATAAACGCTCACTAGAACTCGTGCTCACAAGACACTATATAAAAGTAACATGAAGTTTTCTACACTTATGTTCTCTCATATGTGTTGAAGACTACCACAAACTGACACAATTGCAAACACAATTTTTAATCCCCTCGGCGATGTTGACAAAAAAGTCGCTTGCTGAAGCTCCCTACCACAGAACAGAGACAAACAGAAGATCGACTTCTTCGTTTTCCTATGATTTTGGCGTAACCGCAATTCGTCATCAAAATGATGACGCCATAGTCCTAGTCAGTGCGCTTATGAGAGGCAGTCCCCCTGGTAATATTCAAAATGGTGAACGTCCAGGGGGGTGGGTGAATATTTGTATATTTCAAAAAACCGGGAAGACGTTCCATCAATCGAGGTATCGAGTCAACTGGGTACAACAAATATTCAAATCACGTGTGCGCAAAGAAATTTCAACATGTTAGTTTATTTTACCTCGACATCTCTGAGACAAACAAAATCAGCAACACATTGAGCAATATCATGGACGTCCATACGCAATCCTTCAAACAACTGACTCACCAAAATTTCAACTACACAAAAGTAAATTACAACAAATGATGATCGGTCGTGGAAACCACAGCAGTCTGTGCTCACGTGACGTCTCAAGGTTTCAATCACACAATCAACGTTAGGGTGGTTTAACGGATTACAGTGCGTCTACTGTAAGTGGGGCCACTAACGCCACTTAGATAACACTAACCAATCACATTGCAGAACAAAAATAGAAATCTAATCAAACTAAAGCTCGTTTCAAAGTTTTACTTGTATTTTTCAGGTACTTGAATCCCCCCTTATCAATCCGCAGTTTCTGGTGTTCTTTCTAACTAAATCAATCATTGGCAATGTATTCGATGAAAATTATATAAGCTCACGTACTTCCAGGTTCAGTCTCCTGACCGTGTTGATACCATTGAAGACCAATCCAAACTATCAGCTCAAGGTTTAATGGGTTTTCAGCAATGAATACTACAGGAAAAATATTGAAATGTCAGAGTTTGAATACTACCGGAAAAATTTTGAAATGTCAGAGTTTGAATAGTCGGTTTCTGTAGATAGCTAACCATGCAGTCTCGCCTGAAATAAAGCGTCCTACCACAGACTATTCTTGGTTTTGCCTATGATTCTGGCGTAACCATTGCAATGCTGACGCCATGGTCCTAGCCAGTGCGTTTATAAGAGACATTCACCCCCTGAAAATATTGAAAATGGCGAAAGTCCAGGGAGTGAATGCTTATTGAAAATGGCGTGGCAGCGGTTACACTTTTCTGGCTGAGTCAACCTTCTGTGTGTCTTTATTCTGTGGTCCTACCCTAACCTCGTGCTCATCTCGTGCACACGGGTGTCCACAGTTGATATATTCAAAGGCAACGAATAATAAATGAATTACCTTCATCGTATTTCATAAGTTGTTCAGGCATGAAAAATTCAGGTGTTAAAAACGACTCGTCTTCACTTAAGAACAACTAGAAAAGAAGAAAATTGTTACTTGTACCCTAGAAATCCTAAGCGTTCTTGTAATATATCAACTGACATACCTTGGAAAAATCGTTATTATGTCCATACAAAGTAGTCAAAATGTCTTCCTGACCCTACAATGTAAACACATTATATAAACTATTATTAACATAATGTGGTAATAAACAGTTCCTAAAACACTTGTTAAAAGATGTTTTGAAGTAAGTCAAATAAGACAAAACACAATCCGAAGATTAGCATCTTGAAACTCAAGATACGAGTCGAAATAAGACGAGAACGAGTTTGTGATATTTCGATATTATTTTAATTAAAGTCATCATCAGACTAACTAAATTTACAATACATCCACCATAATTTTGTCTGTGTTGGTGTTGTGTACTCAGGTGAAAATTATGTTTGTGATGTTACCCTGAGTGTATATCCACACCGGACAAGCTTGAAAAATATACCTGGCCACGGTGGGAATCGAACCTACGACCTCTGGAATACTAGCCCAATGTTCTGCCAACTGAGCTACGCGGTCAGTTCGGTTCGAGTATGTAATATTTCGGAACTGAGTCTAGTTCCTAATCTAGTTATATAATTTGTTCTGTGTTGGTGTTGTGTACTCAGGTGAATACCGAACTGATCGCGTAGCTCAGTTGGCAGAGCATTGGGCTAGTATTCCAAAAGTCGTAGGTTCGATTCCCACCGTGGCCAGTTATATTTTTCAAGCTTGTCGGGTGTGGATATACACTCAGAGTAACATCACAAACATCAATGTATAAGCTGCTATTGCAAGACGTAATCACAAAGGAATTTAAAGGCACTATAATCCCGACAGATGCCAATCTTTGTTTTGTCTTATACTCTTCGAAATTGTCGGCTCGTATTGGTTTTTAAGCGAAATAAAACAGTCGAAAATCGGTGACAATAGATTTTTTTTAAAAGTCTGCCTTATGACGTAGTTTGTGGATAAAGGAAAACCCCGCACAGCCATTTGGCTTGCCTGATTGGCCAAAAGATCGTATTGATTCGCAAACTACGTCACAAGGCAGACTTTTTAAAAAGGTCTATTGAAACAAGTACACTTCAAGTAATAAAGAACCCGAGCCTGGTGACAGTAAACATACCTGAGGTGAACATAAGTTTAACAAAATGCTGTTGATCTTTTCTTCACCATAACGATCCAATGTACTAAGGATTAAATGACCTGAAAATATAACGTTTATAGATGTAGAAACATACGAAAGAATGGAAAGGAAAGACTACAAAGTTATTTCTCCGTAACAAACGTTTCATTTGCAAGGACTGTTGTCACATTGTTGCTGTTGTTGTTTTTGTAGTTGCTGTTGTTGTTTTTGTAGTTGCTGTTGCGGTTGCTGTTGTTGATTTTAATTTGATTTAATTTGATTTAATAATGTTCGACAACTACTAAATTTATATTATAACAATGTAGTGCCAAGATACTCGCCACAGTGTCCCCAATTACGGCGAGTCCTTAATAATTACATCTAAATCACGTTAATATTAGTATTGAATAATCTAATAACAGACAACTGACAATACGCTTAAAGGGTATTGGCAACAAAAAATCCCATTGCTTCATTTGAAAGAGCACGGAAAAAAACTGTGTTACTGTGGTTGTTGTTGTTGTTGTTGTTGTTGTTGTTGTTGCTGTTCAACCACCAAACAGTAAGTTCGTAGATATCTGTCAACTAAATAATGTGATTAACTTCTCGGTTGTTGACTGCGCGTGCACGAAAACCTGACCCTAATACTATATTACTCTCGAGATCATAGAGCAACCAAAAGCAAAAACAATAGATTTCCAGGTTGATTCGTCGAGATTAATAATTACTCCAAACCTCACCAGTTTGGCTGAGACGCGAGGCAGCCATAATGGACCACATAACGGGGTTTCTCTCGCTCGTTGCTTTCGCGACCCAGGGTGACGTCATTTCCGGCTCAGAAACACGATATGACGTAACATAACATGCCGTAGCCATTTCTAATGCTTGCGACCAGGCTGAGTAGCCCTAAATAACAGCAAGTGAAAGACACGTCGTTTTCATGAGCAACACAGTGATCAGTAAATCAGACAACAGGCTTAACTAATAAACATTTTACAACGTTTCCATCTATTGACACGTTGAACTGAAACAATGCGGCTTAGAGACAGTCTCGTTATGAAATATTTGAAGAAACACAGTGATGGGTAAACATTGGTGCGTCCAAGTAGTATACATAAATTATTGTTCGGTTTAGAAAAAATGCAGCAGGTTGAACAACAAACCTCCTTAGCCAGACGAAGCAGTAGATGACCACTGAGCATATATAGTTGGGCTCTAATTTCCGTAACTGCGACATCCCATTCACTGGCTTCGCTCAGATCAGTTGAATTATTTAAACCATTGTCGAGATTTATAGCTTGGTACAGTAGTTGATCGAGCCTAAAGATAAAATGACATTCAGATAGTCTCCTACGGTTGAGTGCACATTTCATCGCAATATTCATTGGTTAGTATGACAGCAGTGATGATTATATGAAGTAGGGATGTGTCGGATCAAGACACTGGCATCTGATATCCGCTAAAACATATAGACATCCAGCACTTTCTGGTAAAAATCCGCCGCTTATTTACCAAATAGTCCTGGAACTCTTATTAAAACCGTCTGTTTTGCGTTAAGATATTGAGAAACCCAAACAACTAATCTACCGGACATCTGAGACATGAAAACGAAATTACAGTTTTTTTGTGATGCAAACCGCTCTCTGCTGTATATTGTCTTACGATCCTTGTGCCATATACTAAACAGACAAATAGAGACAATGGAATATTTTATGACAACGGGTGAGTGACCTAGTGCCCAAGTACCACCATCAGTACCTGGTTATTATCCGGCAGACTGCTATCTGGCACCATCTGGTATCGGGCAAAACAGTATCCGGCACATCCCTAACACGAAGCATGATTGTCTCGTCTACCTGACGTCTTCCTCGTCAGTCGTGTAAAGGATATCATAATAATGCTCATTAAGAACATGGCATTTTGTGGAAAACAACGGAGAAATAATACGGATAGAAACAAAATAAACAAGACGCTCTATTGAGCGTTAGTCGCTGGGGCTATTGCATATTACGCTGCATGTGATTGAGACTGCTATTTGTTTGTTAAGTTTATGTGTTCATATAATGAAATTGTTTTTGTCAAAAATGGGATTCAAGGAAAAATTAAAACAAAGTTCATTACAAGTCCCCCGACTATATATAGACGATAAACAAATTTGTCTAAGTTTGGTTATATCCAATTCACAACTTTGCATAAGTCACATGCCTAAGGGACCGGTCATTATTTTTGGTGGGGGGTGGCACCGAAGAGAAATGTTTTTCGTGGCAAAAATTTTCCTGACCCAACCATTCAGTAAAATATCAAAAATTTGATTACCCAACCTCAAGTATCATTTAAAAAATAAATACCCACCCCTGGCCAAAAACGTTACAAAAGGATGTCATTCAGTTGTCACACATGACACAAATCCTTTACCACTTCTGTGATACGTTTGATAACGTTTGCCTTGTGAATGTTTGATATTTTGATAACGTTCGGCTTGTGAAATTTACTGACTTTTCTGCAGTCTAAAGTTTCATGTTGTCTGCACATTTACTTTCTTTGGAGAAACCATTTGTCTCCCAACAAATCGGAAAATGATGAAGATATAGATTGATTCACATATTAATGTATATTGACATATGACTGTTGACACTGAAGTTTTCAGTCATCAATATTTGAGTGAGTCATGCTTTGGAAATGACAATAAATTTTTATTACCCAACCATTGAGTTGTTTCGTTTTTCATTTACCCAACCTTTTACTCACTCAAAATTTTGTTTACCCAACCCTTTTCTCTTCGGTGCCACCCCCCACCATAAATAATGACCGGTCCCTAAGTATCATTGTTCTAGTGTACTGAAGCATAGAGAAGAACAAATTAGATAACTAAGCATTAGAATTATCTAGCTACATGAATGAATGAATAAATGACTTTTATAGTGTATAAGGCTTATCAAATGCTTAGTTACCTCTGTAAACTCTGTTCTATTCTATGTGTGAACTACTGTAGAACACTAACTAGACATGAATATTTAAAGTTGTGAATTGCATAGCAACAATGTAACTAACTTTGCCAAATTTATCTATTATACAAATTAATATGTTCTGTGTGTTTGAATTGTACAATACCTATTGTGAGATAACAGCTGTCCTGGGAGCTTTTAAAATATCATTTGCCAGCAAGGCAAGAAGCTCTATTAAACCCTTGTCCATTAAGCAGATTCTATTTACATCCAAATAAACATGTCATTTCCTTCCAAGTTTACTCATATAAGATGACTTTCGGTTTATAAAGTCTGTCTGATGGGAAAACTATTAAGTTTCATCGAAAAAATGAAGAAAATATGCACAAAATCGATGAAATTATTTCCAAATACGCTCCCAAGTAAGCGGCCATCTTGAATCCAGCGACTGAAAGTAATGACGTAATGTTTGACAAAAAAATGACGTAGGTCATTTTGTGACCAACAATCCGCGATGAAGCCGAAACCTATAGTCGCTGGAGGCACAGAGTGCCCCAGCGACTAATAAATTATTCTCTTTGTCGTTTTGATGTAATGGGATCATCCGACACTGTTGATGCAACATGTTGGTTGGTTTGAACACTATGTTGGCTGCCTGATGATGGAAGATGTTGGATCAAGTTCGACTTTGTTCAGAATCTTCGACCAACATCGTCAACATTGTACTTAAGACTGCGTGCATGTAAAGTATTTAAGTCGAACCACTTGTTAACGGACTACATGAAGTTTCAAATGTCCATTAAAAAGAAATGCCTACTGAATGGAGTCTCCGTATAAATTATAAGTTCAGCTGTACAACAGCATGCAGAAAGAACATCGTATACATCTGACATACAGGCTCGCATTCCCGCAAATATCTCACAACATAAATTAATCTGTACTAAACGGCAGAGTATTCGTGTTTGGAGGTACCGTTTTGGAGGTGCCGTTTGTGTACTAAAAGATATAATGGAAAAAACTAAGAACAGTGTACCTCAGCAGTGATGTAGAGGATTTCCTCAGAGTAGAGTGGGTTAGATTGAGTTCAACCATATTGCAATATGAAGTCAGTAGAGCAATGTAAATCTCTTGTAAAATACTTTGTCTTGACATTGGAGAATGGTTTTTCACTGAAAACAAGAATACAACGTTGATGGTTGAACCTTCCCGTATATATGAAGCCCGCGAAATAAATTGCAAATCTACAAGATTTAATTTTTCACAGTTTAATTAGAAAGTACAATTAATGTTTTAAGCAGAGAAACTGCAGGATGGCGTGAGATCCATTGACGTTGACGTCGTTGTTTATTATTTTTTATGCGAGCTGAGCTAAAAATCGGTCGTTCATCAATATGTTGAATGTTGGGCTCCAGTGCAGGCTTGACAAGATCAAACTATATAACAAGAACGTCCATGTTTCAAGCCAAGGTCCTTCGTCTGAGAGTCAGTAGGGACCTTTAGCTAGCAGGACGGCGACGGATATTAATACAATGAAACTTATGACAGTGTAGAAAGAAAATGCATAATTAAAGGTCCCTTGGGAGTTTTAGACGTCGTCCTTGCTGTTTACAACAGCAAACCAAAGATTTTCACGTTTTGTACACAACGTCTGCCTTTCAAGCCGCGAGAAGCCGTCCTCCCCAAATTGGCTAAGTAGAAGTCTTCTCAACTATAAACCTCTGTCTTAACCTTCTTAAATTGCAATAAATTCATACAACGGAGAGTACAAGACATGTTGATCTTAAAGTTACTTATTCGAACGAGTTTATTTTGGCCGTCGTCGTCGCGTTGCCGTCACCTATTCGCTAAAGGTCCCTATTAACCGCTGGAAACATCGAAGTCTTGTTATATTTTTCAGGTTTTTTGATTCTGTAATCCATCAAGTTGTACATTGTTGTACACTTACTACTGTACTTTGTTGTACATCGTTCAACGTCAATGTACATCATTATACATTGATGTAGTACACGATTGTACATCCTTGTACATTATTGTCTGTCAGGGATGATTCGATCATGTTTTCGGATTAAAATAAAAGTAGTATGGGAATTCGGTGACTAAAACAAAGCCAAAAGTTGAAATCTTTATTCGAAATTGTTGTGTACCAACCTCGCATGCCAGGCTTTCTACTTCCAGGTACTACAGCGTGTTTGAGAGGGGAAGCGGAAGTAGAGAGCCTGGTTTGCGGGCTTGTTTGTGTAGTTGAAATAATCGTAATTATACTGTATGTACATATATTCATTGTTAGTACCTTGTCTCTCTCTCAAATTCAGATATCGCTAAATAAATAGACCAAATAAGAATATGGTGAAAAGAAATGACAAACACGGGTTGCATTACAAACATTAAGTAACGTTCAAAATTCAACGAGAATATCATTGTGCATTTCTTGTAAACCAGTGAGCTCTATAAATATATATATGTCTGGAGCGAGAACTCGAGTGCAAAAAGTGAAGCCAAGATGGCGGAAATTGAAGAGTTATTGGATGTCAGTTCCAGTCCCTTTCTATTGTTTTTGTCTGCGCGGTTGACACGAAGCTGGCAAGGAGTGTACCGAAATTTCGTATTTTGATATCGATTTAAAGAATAACACTATGGTTTTATGAACTGATAATTTGTTTAGCGATACGGTCCATTAGAAAAAAATGGATTTAGCTGGGAAAAATGATATGAAAAGTGTTTACGACCTTCAGACTACGTGAATGGCCGCCATCTTGCATGACTTCACTTTTCTCATGGGCCGGATGACTCAAGTTCTTACTCCAGATATATATTTTGAGAGAGAGCTCAGTCTGCTCACTGTTCTAAACGCGGTCTTAAATACAAATAATGTATCACCTCTAACACACCAACAGTCAAGACAAACCATGACACATTTTTGTGAAATGCTTTTGTTTTGTTCACTGATACGCAATGATCGTAAGCATCGTCAACATGGTCTGAAAACAGAATAAATATTCGTCATTCAAAGACATCAAAAACATGCGCACGGTTCATACTTTGGTTATTGAACATCAGAGCTGGATGGAAAGTGTCCGGTAGCGCCTGCAGCACCACTGCCAGGAACTTTTTAACAAAATATCTTCACAAGAAATTTTCTTTCCCTTGCAGGGAATTTTTTGTTATTTATATACTAGAATGCCATGTAATCTGATATAATCTACTCATTGTTTAAAAATTTGCAAGAATTTGTACCGAGATTGAAGTTTATCACATTCGCACCACACGTTCTCTGAAATCTACACATATGCAGGAAGTTTCATATTGGACTTATACAGGAAATTTTTCGATTTTGCGGCCAGGAAGAGAACTTTCTTTTTCCAGGCTTGTTGAAGATATTGCTAGACCTGCTAAGATGGTCATGCTTTGAAAATTTCATTTTTGATTCTTCTGTTTTATGAAGTTCCTGTAACGTCTTCTGCTTTATGAAGTTCCTGCAGTTAAGGTTACAGGACACCCTTTTTGGCGTTTTGCGGAAAATCGCTACTGCGCGCTCAAAATCAGTCATCAAATTCACCAAATGTTAGCCAGTGCATGCAAAAAAATTGAAAAACAATAAAATAACGTAAGAATTATTCAGGAAAATCTTAAATCGCGGTACCTTTACCCTTTTGAGTTGTGTTCCTGCTGGTTTTAAGATATATTTATGAAAATATCATTTTTATACAGTAGAATAGTTGTTCTAAAGAATTGTGTTCGGAAATTTTTGTTTAGTTCGTCATTCCGCTGATATGGCGATTTCTTTGACGACCGCAATATATTTCTGAATCGTTTGAGTGAATTGCTCCTTATTATTAAAATATCCAAAATTAGAACAAAGCCGAACACAATTTTGAAACTGACGTCTTTAGCTATGTCCTGTGAAAATTTGAGAACAATTCGTTAAAACCCGCAGGAGAACAACTCGTTTGAAAATCAGTAATTACCGTAAAATTCTTCGGGAGAAAATTGAATTTGAATATTACATTTTCAATGTTTTTCTTATTACAGCGAAATGTATTTTATTAAATAACTCTGCGAGTTTTCAACATTTTTCGTTCAAACTTGGTCAGATAGTAGGACCAGTCTAATTCTTTCATGGAAACCAATAAAAAAATTTTAGGCAAAATTAACACTCAAAGGTGTTCTGTAACCTTAAACAAACTTTCCCCGACATGCACAAATGTGTCTACAGCATAATAAGATTAAAATCTAAAATTTCACTAAAAATAATCTTCATTCAAAGAATTTTGCAACTAGAATGATCTTATGTACACACTGAAATTATATCTATTTTATATGTAGTGACCAAAATGTTGTCATTACCCATTTCCATGTATGTCTCAACCAATTTAGCATGTACACAACCATCATGTGGGCGCTGAGTCTAAACACATGTAGAGGAAATAATTTTGTGTAATTTTTACTATTGCCTAGAAATCGTTTAACAATAATTCTCCATCAAGTCACATTACCAACTCCTCTGCAATCAAGTTGATCAACTCATCATAATCAAAAGGTCTCTTCAACTCAATTAAATGAACCTAAAAATATATTATAGCACAAAAGTATAAATACACAATATAGAAATAATATATAAATATATAAATATAAAACATTATTTGGATGCTAAATATCATATATGTCCAAAACAGAAACTGAGAAACATACTTGCAAGTCAAAAATCGCCGGGTGTCCAGGTATTCGTTTACTCGCGTGGTCCGCCCAGGCCTACAGTAAAATATTTATTTGACATTCTTACTAATCATTTTAAATGATCTGTCTAACCTTTAAGAAACATTTTTAAAAAACATTCTTTGATTCTTTTCAATATCTACTGTAAACTGAACAGGCTAAATTTTTTATTGAGATTGTGAATGTTTAGTACATTTTGTTTAGTACATGTTTAGTACAAGTGTCCTAGATAAGATTAGTACAGTAAGATACATACAATCATAAAGCAATATACTGCCATATTTAATTTACAATCATAAACTTTATTTTATTTATTATTTTATTTTACAACCATAAAGCAATATACTGCCAGCTATTTAAAAACAAGTGAAATTAAATGCTGTGTCGTTTCACACTTATGCACTCTGAATATCATATTTTAGTTATGAAGAAATATGAACTACTGCTAGTATGAATACCTTGGCAATTTCAGGATCAATCTTTAGTTCAGTGTAAAGTTTGACAACTGTTAATAAATACAACACAGTTATAGTTAAGCCACTTAACGCCAGCGCTCTCCCTTTGATGAATACAATTGTCTGGCGTTATAGTGTAAAATAATTAAGTAGGGCACACTGGGGGCATCGTGCAACTTAATGGGTAAATCAAGCTGGAAGAAATAATCGCTATATGTGGAGTTTTCGTTTGGGATCTTGTATTTCCAAATGCCATGATCTAACTATGGTTTGGAAAACATGGGAAATTATTATTATCAACTCGAACGGTGTGTGTAGGGAGCGACGATAAAGCTGCGTGTTGAGAGATATTATTTACAACTACCTGAAAAGCGGAACTTCAACATTTCGAACGAAGGCTCGGGAACTTATAGGGTTCTACGTACCGACGCGGTTACTTCCCAACGAAGAGCCTTCGCTCGAAACATCGAAATTCCGCTGCTTTTTTCAGGTATAGTTGTATCCCTCGCAATTGTCCTGGAATATCAATTTGAATCCTTTATGATCATGTGTCGTTTTTCACAAGAGATGAATTCTTCCCATTTTCAACCACTCCTTAATTGCAACATTCCATATTTCTTTATTATCAAATTGTTGGGAATGTGAATGTGTTTTATTAAAGATTAAGGACTTTGCAACTACAAGAGTTGAAATACGTCAAATCTTACAGACATATAAACTAGGTGACTATGATATACAAGGTCCATATTATGTTTACATTCAATAGGTAAGATTAAATTAACGGTATATGAATATCTACAAAAGTATCTACATATAAAAAAATTGTACAATGTGTCATCTCAACTTACTCTTAAGAAGAACATCACTCTGATCATTGTTTATTGCAAATGATCTAAATGAAAAGACAAGTATTGTTACAATGTGCAAATGTTTACGTATATTTATTTATTGTAACATAGCTCTGGAATAGTGAAACAACCATACACTTCCTAAAGTTTATGCTAAATTTCAAATGAAAAATCCTTAACATACAGTTCGTCAAATTTCGACACAATCAGAAACCTGTTATCAATATTCAGAGCATTCCCACGGGGCTTTACATCCTTATGTTCTGTTGGAGTATTCCCATGAATCATTGTAATATTTTTTCAGAGTGATTCATGGACTTGTTGGAAATATTATCTATACAACAGTTACAGTGATGTTACACGAGGGAATTTTTCCTGCAAGGAAAAGTGTAGGCAGTGCCAATATATAAAATGAACAAGCTTTCGTTGGTGGGGATGCAACTACCTGAAATATAAGGAGAATTTCGACATTTCGAGCGAAGGCCTGAGTAACTCCAGACGAAGGGCCTTCGCTCGAAACGTCGAAATTCTCTGTATATATTTTCAGGTAGTTGTATCCCTACCAACGAAAGCGTGTTCAATTAAGTTCTAACCTACTGTAGGTTATGTTTTCATCCGTGTTTGTTTGTATATATCTATCAACTTCTCTGTCTGTCTGTCTGTTTATCTGTCTTAATTTCACGTATTAATACGAAATTTGTGCGAGTAACGGACATTGTCCAAGGACAAATTGATTAAATGTTGGTCAAATTTGGATAAAAATTGGATGAGAAATTAGCAAAAGTTTGTCTTGATTTGCCAGGCAGAGGAAACTGAATGCGTAATTAGCCCTTTGTATAATTTATGCATGATACTATTACATAACTCAATTCGCTGGCGAAGGTATATTAGCAGAGAGTCTCTAGTCTAAATAGTAGCAGAGAAAATGTGACCGCTTGCAACTCTATACCGACAATATTTCTTTCATTTTTCATTCTTTAACAGATGTTATATGAAGGGAAGTAAAGTCAGAGGAAGGACATGCTCACAGTTTCTCTACGAGATTACTTTTTAGTTAACACGGCTTTGTATCAGAAATTGCTTTGCACGTTGCAGCAAAAATTGCCTTGTGTAACATGAGCTTTAGATGTACAGTATAACCTTTTATAGGACTCCAAAGCTTTATGATAATCCTCACCATCCTCAAGCAGTTCACCAAGAAATTTGTGACCTCTAACAAAAATTTAATATACATTGTAATACACGCTTCCGGAAAATACGTCACTTGGCTAAAGAACCTCGTTTTCGTGATTGCGACGTTGGATTGCGGTTACAGCTCAACAGCTGGCATCTGTAGCTCAGTTGGTTAGAGCGCTGCACCGGAATCGCAGGGACGTAGGTTCAATTCCTACCAGAGGACCTTGTGCTGCATTTTTCGCAATCGTTCCTGGTTATGTCTTAAAATGTATATATTCTCACTTGGTTTACAAACCCTATTAACATTCTAATATTAATTCCACCAAGTGAAGTGCAGAATCCTAATCATTGAAGTCCACCTAATGTCATATATACACGAAAACGTGGTTCTATCGCCAAAGTGACGTACTTTCTGGAAGAGTGTATTAGTTAAATAAGCATTGCCATGGAGCACTCGTTACCAACACTCATGTGTAGAGTGAGGTGGTTCAGGGGAAAAATAATAAACAATACGTACTCCAAATACAGAACATAACCAGCCCATCACCAGTTAGTTACAAAGGAAAAGAACATCCGAGAGTGCAAAGATGTGTTCACAGGTCACGAAAATTCCCTGAACAGTACCATATTGAAAGCAATGTTAGGCCCGGTTTGGACGCCGTGCTTTTCATGAGCCGAACTTAATACAATGCATTAAGCACATGAGAAGCACGGCGTCTAAATCAATTAAGCACTGCACTTAATATTAAGCACGGCTAAATTAATAAGTTCGCCTGGTTCAGGCGTGCTACACGGCTGAAGCACATGTTGATTTATACTGCCGTGCTTTACATGAGCCGTACCAAATGCATAAATTATGATAAAATAGAACATTTATAGTACGCGAGCGTTGATTGGTCGAGAAGCGTGTTTCTACACGGGAAATTTCCCGCCTAAACTTACAATCGTAAACAAAACAATTTTAATGCAAATTAAAAAACTTTAAAAAGAATTTTACCTACTCAGCTCATTTTGTAACTGTTACAGTCAAAATAGAAAAACCTCCCCACTTCCGCTTCTGTAGCTTGTTTTGTATTCAGTGTAATTTGTTCTATTTTCTCTGTAGTGATTTTAAATACCGCTTTATCGGGAAATATCGCGGTAGAATTTCCCTTTCTTTTCTTTATATACGTCAATTTGTAGCAAAGGATACACCTTTCGTTAGATTCTTTGCATCAAAGTTGCGAAATTAGGCTTATAGCGATATTTGCTGATAAAGGCAAAAAGCGTTTCTTGTAGTGAAATTGATGCATGGAGCAAAGGTCGGCATTATTACGTAATGAGAATTTGTAAATATATCGAGTCTACTACAAATCTTTTTTTAGTTATATTATGAAATAAATATAAAACATTTATTATGTGTGACCCATACAGTTATAGAAACACTTGTAGTAGTTTGAGAGAACTCGAATAACGTGGAAAACTCGCCCTAACCATGAGTGGCGTAGCCAGCTCAATAATTGGGGGGAGGGGAGATATATTCATGTCCTGCATTATTAGTTTCTTTTGAAATTGATTGTCTTTACGATCTGTGAATACGAATATATGAATATGCCCCCCTCCCCCACTTATCGAGCTGGCTACGCCAGTGCCCTAAGCCTATAGGTCTCGTTTTCCCACACATTATATCCAGGCATTATGCTATGTTTGGAGTAATAAGGCTTTTCAAAAAGCATTTGAAATTTTTAGTAACCACAAACCTGTAGACGCTCAGAAATGCCAAAATTGTGTGTGATAAACCTTTTTTTCTTATTATGAAATGTCACTCGCCCCAGGTTTCGAAGTGAAGCAGCGCAAATTATTAAGTACGGCTCATGAAAAGCACGCCTGTCTAAATCAAAATTGGAAGTACGCCTATTTTACTCGAGTAAAATATGAATTAAGTTCGGCTCATGAAAAGCACGGCGTCTAAACCGGGCCTTAAACCAGTACAGAACAGTCCTAGACGTGTTCCTGTACCAGTAAAGCATGAGCTGTAGTGAATGAAAATTTTCACATTGAAGGGGGGTTACGAAAATTTTTCCATAGGTTTTTGGGAGGGTATGGAAATATGTACTTGAAATTTCATTTATCCTCCACCCCCCTCTAGTAATTACTTTATGACGGTCCCTAATTTAAAAAATCCAGGGTTCTCCAGGACTTTTTTCATCCTTTTTCCAGGGGTTTTCCAGGGGCATTTGAAATATAAATCTATAAGTGTTTAACGGATAAGAAACGTTCGCGACGGTTAGTACTTCATCTTGCACAGATACTTTTGGGTTTGTACCAGTTTGAACGAAATACATTCATAGTTTGACTATATATAATGCAAGAACCTTTTGTTCAATCTTTCTTTTTAAGATAGTGTTAAATAGTTTAGGTATAATCCTATACCCAGCTCAGTTTCTCAGTTTTCCAGGGATAAATTTGGGATTCCAGGGTTTTCAAGGGTTTTTCAGGACTAAAATAAAAATCCAGGGTTTTCCAGGATTTCCAGGGGGCGTACGAACCCTGCTTGATTCTGATAGGAAAAAATCGTCCACAAGTTGTTTGATTGCCCGTCATTTGGATGAAAAGTCACATGATTGCAAACAAAGAATACGCGAAAGATGGCTTTAGGCGAGTTAGATGAATCTTCTAGTTACCTCACAACCTTCTTAATGGTGCCCTATGGCTGCTACAGGTGGTTTCGTACGAATGCCACTTAGGACCAGTTCCATGCCAGAAGTATTCAGACAAAGGTTTGACGAATGTATGAAAGGCTTTTATATAATAACTACAGTGAAACACGCAATTTGATTGGTCAGGCTATCCTTAGTATCCTGCACGAGGAATTAAAATGCCTTCGCGGGATTCTCAAAATGTCATTGTTTCACTGTAGTTATTTTATAAAACAATTACCAAATGGTTTTCCAAGCAGGATAGCGTGATCCATGCACTTGGGATGTTGCTCGACTTTCGGAAAGCGTAAAAATACACTCGCCTGCGGCTCGAGTATTTTTACGCATTTTCCGAAAGTCTCTCAACATCCCTTGTGCATGGATCATGCAATCCTGCACAGAAAAACATTCGGTATTCCTTTAATCCAATATAGCAGTGATTCATGATGATATCATAGTCTATGGTCATAGTCTATGGTACTGAGGATAGCGAGGAATAAGCGATAGAAAGCCATGGCACTGCCTTCAATGTCCTGTTAGGATGCAGATCAAAAGAGCTGAAGCTAAACAAGAAGAAATTCAAGCACCGGTACTGTACAAGCTTGATGTAACCCACTTTGGTCACGTTATCAGTAAAGATAGAATTTCGACATGCCTAAGCCTGTTGATGTGCAACAGACTTGGTGCATACTGTAGTCAACAACCAGTCCAAGTTCATTCCACAGCCAAGCACCATCGCAAACCTCTACGACGTCTCACCACAGCATGAAAAAGCATAAGCATTCTCAACAATTCAATTTGTATAGGACACAAACTTTTAATAACATTTATATCAGGCCTTCATTTTTCTTTGCCTGCTAGCTCACCACAAGAAAAATAAAGCCTGATTGCAGGTTATCTGTTGCCAGGACTCATTATATAAAGTGTGTGCTCAGCTTGTAGATCTTTATTCAAACAATATATCAAAACAAGCATCAATGGTGGTGCTGATGATAAGCATGTTGTCATAATAAACTCATATCATATAGCTTAGGGCTTGATCCATCTAGAAAAGTGTCCTCTATGGGTAGGAGTGACAGTCAACTAAGTGTGAACTCAAAAACACTGTAACGCAGGAGAAAACAATTCTGAGAAGGTCACAATGCACTGTTGTTTTTTCACTTTGGCTTCTTGGACAATTCTGCCAGATGGAGTTTTTAGTAAGAGCTGTGTTGTTGTGAGTACATGTAAGTGCGACACTTATTCAAGGGCAGCACAGTGTGCCACTTTTTAATCATTTTACTCTCTTGTGTGGGCAGCAATCAATTGCAGGTGCCACTTAATTGACAGAGTACCTACAGTATATGGTTAAATAAGAAAACTGCCTACCTGTAGTCATTGCTGTTTGTACTGATGTAGGCCAGTGTATACCTATACATGAACAAAGTGGAAAATTAAATTGATATATTATACTGTTTCATATACTCTACTGTCGTAGGGGTCGAAATTCCCGCTATTCCGAATATACTAAAATGCCTAACAGAATAGTAAACTTCATGATCACGGTATTCCGTGTGGTACCAAATATCGACAAGCAAGAGTTTTCCTCTTGTATAATATATCACTTTATACCGGACTTGGAGCCACTGTTCCACTTCGTAGCTAAGTTCTTGTTCGCTTGCAGTACTTGCGTATTCTAAGGGACGGACCATTTGATTTTTGATGGGGGGGTGGGTAGAATCCCAAAAAAAATATCGAGCAAGCAATTCGAACTTAAAAAAAATATCGTGCAAGAATAAACGGACGAAAAAAAATATCGAGCAAGATTTTCGAGTGGTAATCCTTATTTGCCATTCGGTGCATTTCCGCGTGTAGCCCAGGGCCGTATGTAGCAACTGGAGGAGGGGGTGGGGGACTGCAGGGTCCAGGAAATGGCATTTCAGAGACTCTAAATTTAAAAATTTCCTCGGGCCTTCAGCCCTCGCTTTCAGGCCCTCCCCAATCAAAAAGAGCTTCCTACGGCCTTGTAGCCTAAATAATGGGAGGACCAGTATAATTCCAAAAATGGTTGTTCTTTATTTCTTTACTCCGACTCCTATGATGAACATGTACGTAAAAAACTAGGAAAACTACGATTAAATCACGGCCGTAGAAACTAAAATAGGTGAAATTTTTATGGGACACAATCAAAGGCGAGGATATAAGAGCGAGAGATTGAAATTGAGTAGGAATAGCGTACAGGGGTATGCGTTTCGACCTAACAGTTTTCTTCAGCAGGGTTTTTTAAGAGGGGGGTAGATATAATTTGAAGAGGAGAAGGAAGGAGAGTTTATAGGAGTTCGGAAAATAATGTGAGACCAAGAGGAAAACAAATTATTACGAAATAACTGAAAATAACCAATTACACAGTGAAAGGATGTAACTACTATACATGTTATTAGTCAAGTTATCCTACCAAAGGTCTTGTTGTTTGCGGGACATTCCAACACTACGCACTTTATTGTTCATCGTTCGTATTGGTGAAGTGAAGCAAATTTGCAGGTCCTTCAATTAAGGGTTAACTTACTCAATGGTATAGTGAGTTTGAATGATTGTGATGGTAAGGGTGATCATGTGACTGTAGGTGATTGCATACAAATATGGTGTTAGTGGTGTAGGAGCTTATAAGACAGGGATAGGGGCGTTTGGCAATTAGTGATACATAAGGGATAAAAATAATGATAACACCGTGCAGGGTTTGATTTTTGTTTAAAATATACGAATATACAATAACAACTAAAACATGTACATATATAACAAAACCAAAACAGAGATTAGTAAATGAATGATACGATATGACCAATAGATAGCTATAGCTAGTTCTGTTGTGGATTTTGCTACGTAGAGGATCCAAGTTCACATTGTTTTCCGAACTCCTAAGCTCTCCTTTCTTCTTCTCTCCAAATTCTATATACCCCCCTTTAAAAAACCCTGCTGAAGAAGACTGTTAGGTTGAAACGCGTGTAGGGTTGCCTTTCCTACTCAATTTCAATCTCTCACTCTTATATCCTCACCTTTTATGGAGTCCCATGAAAATTTCACCTATTTTAGTTTCTATATATAATCGTAGTTTCCCTAGTTTTTTACGTACATGTTCATCATAGGAGTCGGAGTAAAGGAATGAAGAACAACCATTTTTTGAATACTGGTCCTCTCATTATTTAAGCTACACAATGTCTTACACCAGTACTTGTCCAATTACCTATTATATACCAAAAAATGTAAAAACAAAAAACTAAAAAATGTATATAGATGCATACAAAAAAATATCGTGCAAGTCCTCTGACTGACAAAAAAAATCGAACAGTGTCAGGAGGAGGAAAAAAATATCGAGCAAACTGAAAATCTACCAACCCCCCCAACCCCCATCAAAAATCAAATGGTCCGTCCCTAATACGTATAAAATGTTTGATCAAACTGATATCTCGTGTTTAAATATGACATTACACGATATAAAACAGACCCCGTGCGCTAATATTAACCCCAATGACCCTTGTACAAGCTGTGATTATAAAAACAACGACATATTCGATTATATATGCGTTGGAAATGACTATCAACCTGACAAAACATATTACAATAAAGACTTTACTAAGAATTTATACACATCTCTATACAGTGTGAGCGTTATGAACTTAGCCTTTCGTATTTCAAGGATAAAAGGAACCGCGCAGCAGGACACCGCGGACACGAAGGCTACAGAGCCACGGAGGCACGGAAGATCGGGTGTAGTTAAAAGGCGAGCGCGGACTGGCGGACCGGCGGACGCGGACTGGCGGACGCGGACCGGCGGAAATTTTTTTTTACCAATTTTTTAATTATTGGAAATAAATTTAAATAGATGAGATAGATGAATCGTTTGAGATAGATGAATCGTTTATTAACTCAATTATTGCAGTCCTACGACTGAATTACAATTGGTTGGTATAAAATTTATAAATACAAGTACTAATGTTTAAAAAATTTGTTATATATATATATACATGCAAATATTTAAAATAAGTTCGTTTTTATTTCCTTTCGTGATGCGTACTCAAGGATAAAAGAATCCTTAAATCTATTTGTCCTAATCGTTGGGAGATTATATTTCCTAATTGTTCTGAAGGTATAAACAGCCTTATTCATTTCTGGTAAAAGTCCGTGAAGTTTGTGATCTTCATTTTCTTCAATTTCACGAAAATAAAATAATATTAAAAAAATATTAATATTATTATTAATAATAATACGGTATTATATATTATATTAATAATATATTTTTTTCTCTTTCACATCATGCGACAACCGAATTCAATAATTGCTAAATAATCTCACAATCACTTGTCACGCGTTGACACCAGGATTCGATTCATTCATACAGGATCAAATATTTTAAAAGGAAAACGTCCAAACACATCGTATTCGCTTAGTTATTCAGCAGATATATTCTTGACTTAGTGGGTACTTTAACTTTCGGTAACAATTATTGTCTCGGTAACAAGAATTAGAGAGATGCTGACACAAGTTCACATTTTGCATCTAAGAGAGTTTGGTTTACTAGTTTAGAGAGTTATTTATGCAACAATTATCGAAAACGCAAGTGGTTTTTCCGGTTTTCCATGTATAAAGTTCTGATTATTGATACAATATTGTTTTTAAAATTATTAAAGGACCATTGTTACGTTATCGTTTTAATCCAACCAGCTGTTTCGTATCTCTTCAAGGTGATAATTGTACATTAGTTGAAAGTCAGTGCATTACTAATATGCGCTGCGAGCATAATAACACAGAAACGTAATCAGTCTGTGCATGCGTAGCGTTAACCGTATAAAAACACAGCTGTAGGCAAAGTACAAAAAACGACGAAAGTTGCAAATGATTGGGCCATTGGTACAGGGCTTCAACTTACATATTTTTTCAGTTAATTGCTAGCATTCATCCACTTCCAGATCAATGCACTCTTGCGCATTATAGTTAACAGTAGTTTAAAAATTACAATCTTTTATTCAAAACTTTACATATTCTATTCGTATCTATTTCATCCTCCGCCCCCACTGAACGTCACAGAAAGGAAAGCTGGTTTTCGTAGGATCTTAATCATCACGACCATCACTTCCAAATTATCGTGATGCTTTTGACAGCCGCTTTTTATCGCGCATCAGTATACATTTAAAGTTTGTTATGTAGTTCGCCATGATACTATTACAGTGTTACCGAAAGTTAAAGTACCCACTAAGTCGAGAATATATCTGCTGAATAACTAAATGAATACAATGTGTTTGGACGTTTTCCTTTTGAAATATTTAATCCTGTATGAATGAATCGAATCCCGGTGTCAACGCGTGACACGTGATTGTGAGATTATTTAACAATTATTGAATTCGGTTGTCGCATGATGTGAAGGAGAAAAAATGACATTATTAATATAATATATAATATTATTATTAATTACATAGGTGATTATCAAAAATTCTCCACGCTACTTGGTTGTCGTTGAGGTGATTATAACGCAATGATCACCTAAGCGATTTTCGAAATGGCGGCTGAAGCCATTTTGTCAATTAAATGACGAAGAAATGTGTATTTTTTATTTTTTTCCAAATAATCACCTATGAAATTATACTAAAACAATTATTCACCTCGACTTCATCTCGGTTTTTATTCACCGATAATCTGGCACCTCGCCTTCGGCGAATAATTGTTAATTATTATTGACAATAATATTAATATTTTTTTAATATTATTTTATTTATTTATG